TACATAGACAATATACACTTTAAACTGTCACTAATATTTAAAAAAATGTGAGACTGCCAATTCAAATGAGCATGTGAGACTGCCAATTCACAGAGCATGCATGACTCACTTCACTCAAACATGTTAGACTATTGACTTTCAGCAAACATGTGAGATTGTCAATTAATTTGGGCATTCAACACTGTGATTTAAAAATAACATGCGAGACTCCCACTTCACATTGGGCATGTGAGACTGCCAACTGCTAATTCACATGAGCATGTGAGACTATTGACTTTCAGTAAACATGCGAGACAACCAATTTATGTGGGCATTCGACACTTCACATAAAACTACACGACTTCCACCTTAATACATGGCAACATATTCATATTGAGGTATGAATTTCAACGGTCTGCTTTGGATGAGTCGTGCAATTACTGGCCACTATAATTGTATGAGAATCCACATTTAATTTGATTACTACGATTGAGTATCCTTCACAGACAAAATAACTAAGCTAATATTCTATAATTATATGTATCTCGCATCATTTGGTGGCAAATATATTGAGGTATGAAGGCATATTCAAATTGCTAGGCTCTATAAATAAAATAGGTATTTTAGCAAACAGAACTACTGTAATTAGAGCTTTGAAAATAGGAATTTCAAATTGAATTCATAACATTATCTGAGCAGAGAGAACTATGGTATATAGTTGTCTCATACATTTATAGATTTAGAAAGTAGGCCTACTGTTATAAATGAATGACAAATCTACAGTAGTAGTGGTATAAATATCTGAAAAGTCACAAAAAATGATACATTAAATGCTTTTAACACATATTTTTTGTGACAATCTCATGCTCATGGGACAATCTCTTGTGACAATCCTGTTTAATGTGACAATTACATGTTCATGTGGCTTTCATGTGTTTAATGTAACAGCCTTTACCGGTATGTGATGCTTCAAATGACTATCATACATACTGTACATTAAATAACTTGGTTAATCAATTTCTTCATGTGACAATGTCATTAATTCATTATTTCCATTTATTAAAATAACAAATACATAGAAATTGTTGTTGCTCTCAGATGTACACTAAACTACATAAAAAACAAAACTAAACATATATCTATGATTTACCATGTTACAATCTCGTTTTCATGTGAAAAATGTCATGTTTTCAATGCAAAAATGCATGTGACAATCCTTTGTGTCCAAATGAGTGACAACTATGAGTTTATGTGCTGGGGCAGATGCAGGGGGAGAGGGTACAGATGGTGCAATCACATCCCCTAAATTGTATTATGAAAAATAATTGTTGTATTGTATTGATGATATGAATCACCTATAAGATTTTTAAGGTATGAGAGTGCAATTTCCAGGCACCTAGATGTCCATATTCTCAAAATTTGCTTACCTCAGGCCAACCATGGTTGGGACTAAGGTGTGGTGTGGACTCTCACTTCCTACCGCCAAATCCTGTATCCGCCCCAGATGTAACAATGTTATCTGTTCACGGGATGTTATGTGTTCATATGACAATCCTACGTTCATACAATTATATTATGTTCATGTGACAACTCGACGAGTTCATGCAACAATCCTGCCTTAAAGCGACAATGCTATCACAATTCATGTGTTCATGCGACAATTAATGTGGCAATCCTGTGTTTACAACAGTGTTTATGTCAAAATTGCGTTTTATTGATAACGTAAATGAGTTTTCCTACATCAGTTTTGCCAATGTAGTCTGTATTTAATCAACGACTGTGTGGGACACTGAAAGAGATTTCATCTCCACCTTCATAAAATATATTGTAACAATTACTGCCATTTTTTAATACACAACTAAAGCACAGGAAATGTTTTCAATTTTACTAACAATCTCAACAGCTGTTTTTCAATAATAGTTTTTTTTTCAACATCCATTAGCTTATAAGCAGGTACTTGAGGGTAAAAGTAGCTGACGCCACACCATTGACATATTTTTTAAGGCATTAAGTACAGAAGCTAAGAATCTCTACGGAAACCACTGTTTAATATGCATTTATGTTGAGCTAAAAAAAAGGACATAATTTGAAACCTGACTTTAAAATTTCAGACACGTACGGTAGCAAATTGAAGTTTTATATCAGAAGTATATAAACATACTGATTAAGATTAAATATTAGTTATGCCTACATTTATCCCAAAAAATTATGTTGTATTTGTAAATGTTAAGAATTAATAATAAAATGTTAACATATTGATTTTTATTTTGATGTGAGTTTTCATGAGGAAACTACAGTATCATAGCAATGATGTTTTGCCCTACCTAACATACCGAATACTTGGTACGTTCCTAAATCGAACCAACAACCTCCAGATAACTAGCCAGGCGGCACAACCACTAGGATACCGTGCTTGCTTTTTGATCATCATTTTTATCATTGTTGTTCCTTTGTGAAACCCTGCATTTGCTTTGATAAAGCCGTGACCTGGGTGTATCTAACATTCTTTTTATTGTTTTTTAATAAAGAATTATTTGATGATGAAAAAAAAAATCAGAAATATAATGTCTATACTGAGCCTAAAAATATATTGGATAAATAGATGTTATGATACCTAAGTACTATTACTGTAAGAATTATCAAATCAGATAAAAGAAGGCAGGATCTTTAAACCAAAAGTGGTCCAGTCGGAGGTTGTGGGGGTAGGGGAGGGGGAAGGGGGATGTGCCCTTAATTTTTAACCACCATTTTAATATCTTATAGCCAAAATGACTTCACACATTTTTTTGGTTGCTATATTGGGGATGCAAGCGCCCCTTTCGCCACAACCTGGATACACCACTATTAACAAAACCTCTAGCACACTGTAGTAAACACAGTGAACTTCAGGTAGGAAAATGTGTTGTTAGTGATGAGACATGCAGCAGGAATATAGGCTGTTTTTGGCATGGTTGTGGGGGGGGGGTGTCAAAACTGAGAATGCAGAACTAAATCCTCCAATGAAAACTTTTGGTGTAGCTAATTAGCTGCAAAGAAAGGGGAAGTTGTGTCGCAACCCTGTCATGCCCATGTGAGGCGAAATGTTGTCACTCCGAGCATAGGCCTAGGCCTATAGTTTAATTTCATATTTAAATTAGGACATATTATTACTGTCCTTGCTGCATTGGTACAGGCTACGGCCCGAGTCTCCAAAATGCTAAATTAAAGTAAGTAAGTTTAACTAAAGTGTCAGATCATTCGAGGCAGAATTTTGAAAAGAACATTCACTCGTGACTTATTACAAAGATGAGTAAGGTACTACATGGCCTACTTAGTACTTAAACCGAAGGAAAGAAATCACCTAGTCTAATAAGGTATAGGCTTTGGTTGTAGCAACGCTAGGCCAAAATAACCGCACCCAGCTTACCTAATTCAATTGAATTCATTTCGTTCCACGACTCGAATTCTTTATGTCGGTGTGGTGTCGCCAAAGGCAGTTGATTGAGCTCACCGGGCTAGTCCCTTGAGGAACCGACACATTCTATGTGACTTATAAATAATTATATCCAATTAAATAAGTATCCACCTTCTAAATTAACTTAAAAAGTGAATGCCCAGATTATCTTACCTGACCAAAAAAAAATTGATAGTTGACACAGCAAATTCTACAGAAGTGAACCAAATTCCGTATTTACTCACACTACCAAATCTACCTGTTGTTGATTAAAGCAAAGTACGTAAATTTCAATGAACATGGTGGTTGTTGGTTGCAATTTCATTTTAGAGGGCGCTATCACTATTTTTCTGTCCATCAGGCCTGTATTTCATTTGTTTAGTTAATATGAATATATTATTTATTATTTAGTTATTTAGTTATTTCAACAATATTTTGTGAGGGTCGTCCATCCAGCCAGAGCTGATCAATTGGAACCCCAGTACATACAATTAAAGACAAAAGATAAAAGATGAAAATTAATCTAGATCTTTAACATTAAAAATTACATTAAAACAGAAAAATGTAAAATCAGAAAATGTTTATAAAATAATTATTTAAAGAAAAAATTAAAAATAATAACTAACAAAATGAAAATAAAATTAACAAAAAAGAAACAAAAAAAAGAAAAAAATAACAAATGAATGAATAAAATTTAAAATTATAAATTAATCTGGAAAAATAAGGACTTGTATCTTTTTGAACTCACTGTCAATTGGCGTGTGACACTCTTCTAAAAGTGTAGGCCTACGTTTAATAAATGACTGCTATTACTTAAATTACTATTACCTAGTTGGGATCAATAAATCTTTATGACTACTCAATAACACATTTTGACGGTATATAATATGTTTTTTCAAAGTGAAATTAAAGGGTGTTTATTTAAGTATATATATATCCCTTTTACGCTAAAAAAAAATAACACCTTCCTCGAATAAACACTTCCCTCAAATAAATTCCACCTTAAACATCCTTCTCAACAATAAATGCCCTGTTTATTCAAATAAATACAGTATATATAAAATAAATAATTGAATCAAGCTGTCTATATAAAGTAACTGATACTGCCTTAACATTACCCTACATCCATTTAAAATTTTAAGGTATTCATATTTGTATTAAATTTAATTTAGCATATTTAATTTACATTATTGAGATTTCTTTCATTTTTTTTTTTTTTTTTTTTTTTGTAATTACCATGTGGCAACTTCTTTTTGTTGATATATATTTAAATTTCGATTTTTCTTTGTTTTTATCTAAGGATTTTATCTTTTATAAATCTGTAGATATTACAAGAAAAGTATAATAAATTAGCATAAATGGTGACGCAATTCAGCATATTATTTCGACGCGAAACATCAAAGTTGACGCGAATTAGCATAAGTTGTCGCGAAATACGATAAAGTGATGCAAATTTACATACGTTGACGCGATGTTACATTCAGAAAATATTTTCCCAAACTAAAAATGGAGGAAGAGCCACGCCTTCGTTACTCATGAATATTAATATACATAGCAATCCAGTCTGGTGTAAATCGGCTGTACAGTATCCGACCCTCTCTAGACACGATTTTACTGGTACGACACGGTGGCACGGTGAACGGTTTCATAAGTTCAGGCCTAAAACTGACGATGTCTGGGTTCATTAATTTAAACAGAAGAATACCAAAGGTCTGGTTTTTGTGTAGAATTGTGCCCATAACAGCATTGAGAAAAGTAGTATGACAGTGTGGAATGCAATAATACAAAAAAGGGCTCTCTAGAGTTGAGCACATGACTGAGTAGCCTAGGCCCCAGGCCCTAGGTAGTACTTAGCATAGCTTTGCAACAGGAGAAGATCCAGGCCTAGGGCTAGACTACTACTACTAGGCCTAGTACTACACTAGGCCAGGGAGTCCATGCATGCTTTTAGGGGTAGGCCTGGGCGCAGGCCTAGTCTGGCTTGGCAGCCAGCTTAGAGCAGAATGATGATGTCGTGGTTTTACAATTTGAAGACTGCAAAGGAGAAAAATGTTGCACATTTTTAAAATGTGCGGACGGTTTGCAAACTGTTCAGGGGTTAGCTCGTACGCTTTTGCAGAATTTTTTTAAGCGATTCAGGGTTCGAATTTCCTCAAAATGCTCCATAGCAAATAGTACCTGTGGGCTATGGCTTTAATACAGCAATTTACTCTTCTGCAGCAACAAGCTTCATAAATTGTTTAAGAATAGGCCTAGGCATATTCCATAAATGTAAGTGCATAATCCATTGCTGGGTCATGTGGCTCAACAGCAAAACGCTTGCTGTTGAGCCTGGGATTTACAATTCAGCAGTGGAAGGACCTTTCGCTACAGCAATTGCTGTCAAACTTCCTATATCTTCACATTAATAGCCTTGTATATATTTATGCACATTAATCATGTCACCGCAGAGTCTTCTATTGTTGGTAAATCAATAGTTTCTAACCGTTGTTCGTAGGTAAGGCTTCTTAATTTTGGAATCAATTTTGTAGCATGTTGCTGAACAGATTCTAACTTATTCTGATCTTTAATTCTGCACACCTATTTTCCTATTGATTTTCTGTGCAAATTTGATGTGTTGGGACAGATTTGGGTGGGAGATCTTATTATTTTTTACTTTTTTAATAGTATGATGATGACTTTGGCCTATGGTAGGCCAAGCCTATTTTGATACAAAATAACTTTATTGTCCAGAAAAAAAAAATATTGTTTCCACTGGGAATTTATGTATAATAAAATAAAAGTGTCTCAATCATTACAAAAAAAAAAGTGTGTATGATGATTGTGTTGTACTGGCATATACTGCTGGTTCACTTTTTTGCTTTTGGCCTTGTCCTGTTTTAATCTATTTGTCAACTTATTAAACAATTATGTTCAATACTTTAATTTTAGTATATTCTGGCCTAGGTCTAGAGTTGGAATCAAAGGCTCTGGTGGATTAGTTTTAGAATCTAAAGTTCCTCTCTTGATGCATGCTTTTAAAATATATGGCCAGGCCTACTGTATTAAATGTTGTTAGTCATTTTAATCACAAAGCCTTTGTATACCAACATCGTTGATAAAATTCGTACACAAAGAAAGTTTGTTACAGAATTATGCGTAGCAAATAACAAGATTGTATCACTGACCTTGTCTTTTCAGGTGATTGGTTCTTTCAGGAGATATTGTCATCATGGAGCTGTAAGTATTATGGGTCTATGATATAATGTGCTTTTTCCTTTCTTTATGAACCATGTTGACCACAGCATGCACAGAACTGGATTCAGAGCTATACGTTGGGAAGTTCAAACAATTAATATCATAGCAGCTGCGATTAATATCAATATTTTGCTTGTTTGGGATTGGAAAGGCCTGCATATCAACAGCAAAAAATACTATTTATTCATTCATTTATTCATTCATTCATGGATTTTATTCAAAAATATTCAATATAAAAAATTCAGGCAAAAAAGTTAAAATTACGATATGTCATAAAAGCAACAAAATTACCATTAAAAAAAAATGAGTAAGTGAATAAATAAATAACAGGGGAACAGAAGGCAGTATAATGTATTGTAGACGAATCTAAATTGCACATTATTTACATTGCCCTAGTGGGAGTCGTTAAAACAGTACATTAAAAAGCGAAATTACACGATTACAGGTAAAAACGAGTAAAAAGAAATGTAAACTAAATTGATCACGTCAACATTAAATCAAATTTAAACATGGATATATAAAAAAGTAGACAGTACATTAAATCAAATTACAGGACAGAAACTCAAATGATCACATCAACACCAAGTCTTATTCCAATATCCCTCAACCAGAGTGGACATAAAAAATTGATTGGATCATTATTATATCAAAATTTACAAATGTATAAATAATGAACATAGTAGTTACTTGTTCAAAAGTTTAACAAAGTAAGGTATCGGGCTTCTTCGGAACCGTTCTGTTTTCGAGCATAAAATGGAGTGATCCTTGAGTTTCTAAGATTGTATTTAACTAACTCGTGTCTTTGTTTGGGTAGCCAGGTTTGAAATATTGGGTGATGAGCAAGATTCTGTGCAAATTTAAGACATAAGCTTTCTCTGCGTTTACATAATTTTTCTATATTCAACAGTGAAAGTGCTTGATCATAATGATCATATTGGTTTCCCAAAATAATCCTGAAGGACTGAAGGAAATCTAACTGTCCAAAGAATTTCACTACAATATTTTGAAATTTGATTACTAATAAATGTTTACAATTTATTAAGACCTAGGTGGGGAAAAAAAAATTATGTATACTTATCTGATTGCAGCTAGAAGAAAGTAATAACCTTGAAGTTGATAAAGCTTTTTTTTTTTTATTAAGCCTACAACAAAGATGTTTATTGATGGTCAGTTTCTCGAGTCTAAAACAACTGAATGGATTGATGTGCACAACCCTGTAAGTACTATAAATAGCAGAGAAAGGAATTTTTTTGATGGATTTTGGAGTAGGGCTGTAGTGTTCAAGAATATAATTGAACAAGAATTGTGATTGTTGAAGTCAAAGCAGTTTGTTGGGGTGATATGTGATTGGGGGATAAAGGTGAATGAGGCATAATGTTTCCTGTGTAATCCACTGATTATTATGATAATACTAACAAAATAATGTTGTGGTAGTGGCAATTGTGATGATGATAAAAAAAAATGTTAATGATAATAATTTTAGATTGACATAGTGCCTCTTGTTGATTTAATAAATATTTTCTTTTGTGATTTTGAATTTTTGAGATAGTAATATCTATATTAATATCATTCAATACTATTTTTTATTAGGCAACAAATGAAGTTGTGACACGGGTACCAAAATGTACACAAGATGAAATGGAAAGAGCAGTACAATCAGCAAAGGATGCTTTCCCAGTGTGGGCTGACCAATCAATACTCTCCAGGCAGCAGATCATGTTCAAGTTTCAACAGTTAATAAAAGACAATATAGTAAGTTTTTATTTGGTTGGTGGTGGTGGTGTTGGTGTTGATGTTGATGGTTGCGTGTGATGTTGATGGTTGTGGTAGTGTTGATAGTTTTGGTTGTGTTGATGGTTGAGGTGATATTGATGGTTGAGGTGGTTGTGTTGATGATTGTGGTTGTGTTGATGGTTGTGGTGCTGGTCGTATGGTTGTGGTGGTGTTTTGTTAGCATATTCATTGTTACCATTATAATGGGAATGTGGCGAAGTCAAAGTTTTTTGTACACACTAAATTGTTTATTTACAAAAATTGTTTTACACATATTGAAACCGGATGAAATTGTCTGCACTTGCATTTAAATGTGTCATCATAAATATTGTACATTTTGATCACAGGGTGAACTTGCAAAAAACATTACACTTGAACAAGGCAAGACTCTTGCAGATGCTGAAGGAGATGTTTTACGAGGACTGCGTGAGTACTTAAACAAAATTACATTCCCACATAAATATTATATAACATAATTAAGCTGAAATATCTTAAATACAAGCAGCCTGTACTGCACTTATAAATAGCTTAATGATAGTCTATGACTGAAAATGTTTTAGAATAAAGTTGTTGGCAAGTTACAGTACCTGCTATTCAAATAACTTTGACTGGTCTCTCCTTGTTTGATAATAAAATACAGAAGCTGCAGGCTACTAGGGAAGTTAAGAAAAAGGTTGCCTTGAATTTACCTTGGTTTCTTTATAGAGGTGGTGGAGCACACTTGCAGTATAACATCACTTCAACTCGGTGAAACTCTTCCCGGCATCTCCAAGGATATGGACACCTTCACCATGCGACTTCCTTTGGGAGTTGTTGCAGGAATTACTCCGTATGTATAAAAACAATATGAAATATAATATTTATGTTTTTAAAGTTTTTTTGCATTTTATTTTAGTCTGTGTGTGTTTGATTTCAGACATACATGATCAGAATTGTTGGTGTCTTTGTATGTCTTTTGATATAATGTGTTTATATAGCACTTTATACTACAGTTTGAAAGCAAGAAATGGATTAAAATAAGTTAAAGTATAACTGAATACTTTATATTTTTGGTTGCAGTTTCAACTTCCCCGCTATGATTCCATTATGGGTAAGTTTACTAATTATCCTCCAAGTTTTATAAGATTTTTTTGAGAAAGTTCGGCAGAAACATATATATTCTTTGTAACTATAATTAAGAAAAGTTTTTAACAGTGTAAATAAACAAAGGAAATAGATATCTACCAAGGGCTTAGCCAGCGAGCTGTACGCCCGTCTTTTGGGCAAGCCAACAATTGTTTAGGACGGCGACTTTTATCGTGATGGCTTGGCTTTCTCAACTCCGTCTAGCCTAGTAGGGCCTGGTCTACTTTAGCAAATTCTTTATATTCTTCGAATCTTTCAAATGGTGCATTAAACTAAAGCATATTTTGGACAGCCTATTTCGTTTTTCTGGTTAAACCACTGATATGCACTAATCCCCTTCTCACCAATTAGGAGTTTAAGCTAAATGAGCAAATAATAATAATAATAATAATTCTGGATTTATATAGTGCCTCACATTGACACAACCTCGAGGCGCTTGAACATTATTACCCCCAGATCACAGGATCAAGCACATGGAACACACACTCAAGCCCCATGGGGGAATTCCATAATGTTGCAGCTGAAATGAAATTCTTGTTCACATACTTAGACTGACTTATCTATTTTCATAGATGTTCCCAATGGCAGCTGTATGTGGTAACACATGTGTTATGAAACCATCTGAACGAGATCCAGGTGCAACCATGATGCTGGTGGAGATGGCGAAACAAGCTGGATTCCCTGATGGTGTTGTCAACGTCATACATGGCCAGCATGATGGTATGTTCACATGTTATTTAAAATGGTTTTATAAGCTCATTTGCAAATTTTTTACATTTATTTCTGTAAGTTCATTCACCTTTACAGCAACTAAGAAATTGTGGAAAGATGCTTCCATCAATGGCCTTGTTTGTGCTTGTCCCCAAATATATATACTTTCTAATGGTCAATGAATAAGATAGAAATATTACTTTAATTTCATTCATCCAGCTGTCAACTTCATCTGTGATCATCCTACCATCAGAGCAATCTCATTTGTTGGCTCTGATCAAGCTGGTAAATATATTTACGAGAGAGGATCAAAAAGTGGCAAGAGAGTACAGGCAAACATGGGAGCCAAGAATCATGGTGTCATCATGCCGGATGCTAACAAAGAAAACACCTTGAACCAGGTATACTTTTTACTTTTTACTGTTTTATTTAGTTATTTTTGTAACATCACTCCCACATGCATTTAATCCCATGCTGAGCTAGCAGTAATTAAGGTTAACGTTATTTATTTCAGCTTGTTGGGGCAGCATTTGGTGCAGCAGGGCAGCGTTGTATGGCATTGTCAACAGCTGTATTCGTTGGTGAGGCAAAGAACTGGATTCCTGACCTATTGGAGCGTTCAAAGAAATTGAAAGTTAATGCTGGTATGATTAATTTCCCATACTAAGTCAATACTGGCTTTGGCCTTCTTTGGCCTTGGTAGCAAGATAGAAGGGTCTAGGCCCAGAGTAGAACATCAGTGGACAGATAACATAATCTATGGCATCTGTGTGTCTCGGGAGATAATGCGTTGTAAGATTGTTACAATTTCAGAATTTTATTTATTAAATTAATTTTATTATTATAATTAAGATACTTTTATTATAAATTTTAAATTTTATTATTAAGTTAATGTTGTAAGTTTATTGTATCTGGCGGTGGAGTTGTATCTCTTTATTAGACTAATTTTATTATTATTAAATTAGTTTTATTATTTATTTATTTTTTTTGTTAAATTAATTTCATTATTTTGAGGTATTGGGCTTTGAATTTGCATCTCCTGCTGTGGCTGTATAGTCTGATCCTTGAACAGCAGATCTTGTTAATTTTCTGCAGGTGAACTACAGTAAGTGTCTGGTGGTGGTAGCTTTGATGTCGACCTCTGGTGTCGGCGCACTCTTTTTTTCTTTCCACAACTCGGTTCTCTTCTGTACGCTTCTCACTATGCCTTGATGTTTTGCCTCCAGCTGCTGCGATCCTGTGAAGTGGCAAGTGGCTTCCCAGGGTAATGGTGTCACAAGCCTACATGTTGCGTTTGCAGACGTCCTTGAAGCAGAGTACAGGTCTTGCAAAGGGTCGAGCACTAATTATTAGCTCCCCATACAAAATGTCTTTGGGGATTCTGCCATCCTGCAGTAGGCTGAGATGGCTGAGCCATCTCGGGCGTTGTTGGGTTAAAAGAACTAACATGCTTTGAATTCCTGCTTTTTTCAGAACATAGTTGTTTGGTATTCGGTCCTGCCATGTGATACCTAGGATTCGTCTGAGACTGTGCATATGGAAGGCATTTAGTCGACATTATTGATGTGCATACAGTGACCAGGTCTCCCTTTCATACAGTAATGTGCTCCGCACGCAAGCACGATACACCCAGTACATTATTATAGCACATTATTCTCTCTATCTATGCCCTATGCAAAATATTAATAAAGTATCAAGAAAATGCACCAAACCAACTACTGCAAATTCATTTAATTATATAAGCTTATTTGATTAGGCGACCATTGCTGACCTAACATTTATTTTCTTTCATGAAGGAGACCAGCCTGGTGCAGATTTGGGACCAGTCATTTCGCCTCAGGCCAAGGATCGTATTTGTACCCTGATTCAGTCTGGTGTAGATGAGGGCGCCAATCTGCTGCTTGATGGACGCGAGATATCTGTACCTGGACTGTCTCTTATACACATCTAGATGTGTATAAGAGACAGAATCAGTACTCTCCAGGCAGCAGATCATGTTCAAGTTTCAACAGTTAATAAAAGACAATATAGTAAGTTTTTATTTGATTGTTGGTTGCGGTGGTGGTGTTGGTGTTGATGTTGATGGTTGCGTTGATGTTGATGGTTGTGGTAGTGTTGGTATTGATAGTTTTGGTTGTGTTGATGGTTGAGGTGATATTGATGGTTGAGGTGGTTGTGTTGATGGTTGTGGTGTTGGTCATGTGGTTGTGTATATGAAGCATCACAAAAGTAGATTGTGTTGGTCTTGTGAACTTGATATACAGACAGCATATCTTTAATGGTCTTACTCAAAACATCAAATCGGCTGATTCTTTTGAGTCTTTCAAAACCCTTCTTCTAACTACATCCAGGCAGAGAAGGCAGGTTGTCTGTGGGGTTAGTCAGTCCCAACTGACTTCTACAAAATTCAGACAAGAGACCGTATAAAGCATTGAAAAGCAAGTACCTGAGTACTAAGCACCACAACTGATTACAGGATTTAGATGCACTTGTATGATCGACACTAATGAATCTGAAATAATGTTGACATATCTTTCTTCTTTGTAGGTTGGTGTCAATGTTCCTATTCCTGTACCACTACCAATGTTCTCGTTTACAGGGTCCAGAGGGTCGTTTATGGGTGACACCAATTTCTACGGCAAACAGGTTTGTTTGACTAATTAAGACGTACAGTAATTAATGTTAACAGTAAAAACAAAATCATAATAATAATGATGATGATAATAATATTTGTCTTGCTCTATAAAAGAAAAAGATCTAAGATTATATCAGCTGAGTTGATACTTGTGGAAGATCTATGTACTACAACCTGGTGGACATAATTTTCTTTGCTTTGTTTTTATTCAGGGTATCAACTTTTACACCCAAATAAAGACAGTCACCCAGTTATGGAAGTCTGAGGATGTTACTCACTCTAAAGCCGCTGTAGCGATGCCAGTGATGAAGTAAAATTAATCCCATAAGACGTTATTATTCATCCAATAATAAAAAAATAATATTTTCAAAGTTTCTGTATATTGTACATATCAAAGACAAAATCATTATTCAAATAAATCATTTTATAATTAATAATCAGAATGCTACAATTACAAAACTTTGAAGAGATTTAGATGGAACATTTAGATATTTGGCATCATAAGAATGAGATGTGGATAATGTTTATAATGTGGTGAATGTCTATATTCTTATGAAAGCCTTTTTATCACCAGATTTCTATTAAATCATGAATGAAAGAACAAATATTAAATTATGATTGACATGCCAGTAATATTAGCTAAAAGCTATGAGGGCATTTTTTCCCCTACACATGGGTTTAAGGGTTTTGATCCAGTCCACACTAGAATCACAGAGAAGCTAGTTTGATATTGAACAGGGTTTGGTTTTGTAGAAACAGTAACTGTGTGAATGGTCTTTTTATATATGGTCAACTTTGACCTATTATATTTACCGCTATAATTGAGATCATGTGCAAATAAAAGTTGTTATGCATATAAATTGGATTTTGGTGGCTACTCTAATTAGGAAAGTGGACAAGAGGAATGATCCCATTTAAAAAAAATGCCTAAGAATACTTGGAGAGTAAAGAAAATTATGAGGCGATTAAACATGGGTACAAGTTGACTAAATATTATTGTTCCAAATGAATGGTTCAATTAACATGGTCTTTTCCCTAAAGTATATGTATCACATGCTTAGATATTTGTACCATAGTTAGCAAACTTGTATTTTCTGTAAACAGGTTTGTTAATTACTAGATTTGTATTATCCCAAAGTTGAAGGTCCTAGCCCTAAGCCCTATAGTACATATTATCATAACCAAGATTTAAATTAAAATTTCTTTAATGTTTTGGTTTCGGGCATTTGACATTTTTCTATTACCTCTTGCAGCGCGTCCTCAGATTAAATGCTAGGCCCTCGCTTGCCTGAACTGTACCTAAATATTAACTCTCTAAACATAATTGCATCTAAATGGGCTAATCAAGTTAACTTGTTTGCCAACACACCCATGTATCATTAGTTTCTCGTATGTTATGTCTGTTAAAAACAGAATGAAGTGATGGCAAATAAAGTACTCTTATTGAAATTGTCTGCGAGAGTTTTTTGATTGTTTTAACAGAGTATAGTCAACTCATATTGGTAAATGCCAAGTACATTATGTGAGTGGGTGTTCATAAACATTATAACTTTGTGTGCGTGTTTAATACTGTTTGATGATTGAATTCATTAAGGTGTGTATAGCCTTGCTGTAATGATTATTTGTACTTTGTGACAAACCAAAAACAGCAGTGGCAAATCCGGGAATTTGAAATAGAGGGGGAACAGGAAGGGAATTTAACAGATGGAGGGTCCAGACAACCTTATCCCAAACATGGTTGGGGAAGAGGTCCAAAGTTTTATGTCCTGGTTCTTCTAGATGGCCAGAAATGGCATTTTCAGACTGAATTTCAAAATCCAAATTCCTCTTTTTTTATAATATATGTTAAGCTTTCAAACTTCATACAATTTCGGTACTGAAATTACAATTTTTTATTAAGAAGATATTTATAATTTAGAAAAATAAATTAGCCATCTGTTTTTGTCATTCATTGATAAAAAATCTAATTAATGAGATTAACTCCATGAAGTGTGCTTATGAGGATATCTCGAAAGTGTGGATGGGATGATTTACTGACATGCTGTAGCCTATTCGTTTTTATTGCAATTGCATATCTTATTAGGTACACTATGATATTAATTTATGAACTACATGTAGGTTATGGAGAAGTACAATCTGTGATATAAACAGTAGCAAAGGGTGAGGTGGACATTTTTATCTGAGTGGTAATATCTTAACAATAAACAGGAATCAGGATGTAGGTGTGACAGCATGTGATTTTGATACCGTTGGGTGCGGCCCACTGTGTTGTGGCTTTACTTTGAAATGAGTTTAACTGTTAAGGAGTGGGTGTATTGTTTCCTGTGATTAAATAATATGATGAGAGGAACTGGGGTGTGCTACTGATACCACAAAGATATAAAATAGGTGTGAATGTTTACATGAAGAGCTCTGTAGTGGTCATTCCAGGATGCGCAATACGAGTGTGTATAAATATCAATTTTCCGGGTTATAATGGATGATGATGGTCCCCAACTGAACCAGGACTCTGCATTGAACCTCCGGACAGATAGACATTTTCTTTTATCCCCAGGGTATTAGACAGTTCAACTCTGATTTTTGTAGATAGATTGACACGGGGTTATGAAATAAGAAATAAATATTTTAATTATTATCTCATAACCCCATTAGGTGTTTTCCTATCATGAACAGACCACTTTAAATGTTTGTTCACCAATTCCTTGAAATGTCGTCATCTTACTAATTTTATTGTTACTTTTTTTTCCGTGGTTTTTTCCATAGAATATAAAGGCATTGTTTTAAAATATTTTCATAATGTGTTGTATTGACTAATTTTTGTTACTGTAATTTTGATGGACCCTCCAGATAGGTCTTATTAAGGAGCATTGGATGCTTCAGATTAAGTGATGCTTTTCTTAGTTGTCTTTGTGTAATGTTGTCATTTATTAATAAGATGGAAAATTATAATTGTACCATGGTGATGCAAGTAAAATTATACCAACGCAGTGACAGGTAGGAAACAGATAATAATGAAAAAGTTAAGGGATTTTTTTTTTTTCAGGATCCTTTTGTTCCTTGAAATTTTTGTTTATGTAGGGTCACTTTGTAAATATTTAAATTCCTTCAAATACACAGAAAAAAAACATTGTGTGAAATGAATACAGTATGCAGATGCAAGTAAAATTACACCAATGCAGTAATTAATATAGGCTCTTTAATATAAGATATAATATAATTTAATTTCTTTTAAATTCTTGGTCCTACCTTTTTTTCGGCGCCTTGAGACGATTTTATTGTGGAAGGCGCACTACAAATATCCCACCATTATCATTAACATGACAGGTAGGAAACTAGATAATAATTTAAAAAAAACTTATGGGATTATTTTTTTTTTTTTTTAGGATCTTTTTGTTCCTTGAAATTTTTGTTTTTGTTTATGTAGGGTCACTTTGTAAATATTTAAATTCCTTCAAATACACAGAAAAAAAAAGCCATTTTAGTTACCATTTTAAAGGATATTATGCACACAGTGTAGAATTCTTTAGTGAGTCACTGGTGACCTTATAAAAACATTAGGCACCAATAAAAGGCAAGACCATGTACCCGTTCTGTTAATCAGCTCCCAACTGAGACATGAGGCCAAGTTTGGTATGTACCATTGCAAGATAGATTTTCCGTAATGGATGTCTTCCTCAAGTTTGACCTAACTTTTTTTTATAAGAATCATGACATTTTGCCCAGGCTTAGTGTTCTTATTTTTGCCAATTTCAGAACTCAAAATGTTCTTATTTTGTTGTTATTTTAAACACTTTTCGAAAATAGAAAATTATTATTGTACAGCAGAATACTGCGCATATGACACAGATAAGACCAAACAAATTTTACAGTATAACCCTTTTAAAAGCCAGGTTCCAGATGTTATATGTTATACAACTGTTAATGGGATACAAATTTTTGAATATTTAAAAACTGAGGGAGTGGGGGGGGGGGGGGAGAGGGAGGGGGGGGGGGAAGAGAGGGAGAACACATCAATTTTTTTCTTTCCTCCATAGCCTTGACTTTAAATATGGCCAGATTTATACTTAGGGCGTCAAGATACACTAGCAAAGAGGTTTTACATGTGGAATTAGGATGGCAATCTCTTGAGGCTATGCAAAACTGCCAGCGTATAAAGTTTGTAAAATACTTGTAAACTTTGAAACCGATCGATGGTCACGTAAAGCACTAGAAGCTATGTTAAATGCAGGAGAAAAAAGTATCAAATGGGGTTGGTTAAAACAAGTTAAAGAAATTTTTTCAAATGGTATTTATGACATTGAAAACTTAGACATGGATGATATTAAAATTACCAATGTCAATCAGCCTTTGATTAAAGATCTCGATAAACACAGCTTATTTGCAAGCGCAATGAAAAAATCTGCATTAATTACCTATCTGCAACAGTTGCGTATCTAGGGGAGGGCAAAGCACCCCCAGT